CCATGTCAGAGGATGAAGAGAGCACATCCAGTTAGTCACAATCAGAGAAACAGGACTACACTGGAAAAACAGGCCAAGCTCCAACTATGGTCTGTCAATTTCACAGAAAGGACTAAATTTTCATCTGAGAGGAAGAATCCTTGTTTGCCTACTGAGCGATTTGCGCACGACCGCCTTACGACGGCCGAATGAATGTCAAACATGTTTAATTTTCTCCTGACTTTACGATTCCTGATTGGGAAGTGGTCGTTAGAGGCTGATCGCCCCTCGTTACCCCCTGTACACCACGCACCATCAGGCTGAAAGTCGGCCCGATCAAAAAATTCTTGCACGACTGGAGAATCGGCCTGAAAAGTGCAAAAAAAATCGTAGATTATGCCCGGCTTTAGCTTACATTCCTACATATAAAAAACGTCTGTAGGAATTACATCAACATCATACATAAGCTTAGATTTAAAAATTTAGAAACCTACGTCTGCATATTTACTGACAGTTATCTAACATTTCCCCTTAAGAGCAATTTAGATGCTCAAATGGAGGAAAATGACGTTTATTTTAGGAAAGATTGACGGACTTCTCTTTCTACTCAGTGCTTGTTTCAGAGAAGTTTGCTGACATTGGCTTTAGTTCCCCGCAGTGTTTTCTGCCTCACCTCTCTGTCTCTCCTTCTCCCTGTCTTTCCTGCTCTGATTGCTGGCAGCATATGGCTGAGCCAGCCTATGGCTTCGTCCTGTTTGATTACATCACCGGTAACCTAGAGGCACAAACAGACAGGAGCCAGCTGCTGTAGACAGTCAGACAAACCCAGGGTGAGAGAGGGAAGGAGGGAGCCGTCATGGAGGACAGTGAGCTGGAACGAGAGACTGGATGAATGAGTGAGAGTGAAAGGATGAGGTTTGGAGGAAAAGGGGCTTTAGAGGAAAATGAGCTGATAGCATGCAGATGGAATAAAAGGAGAGCTATTAACGACGCTTCTGGACTGACTGAATGACGGAGTGACTTCCCTAACCACAGCTTTAGCATGCAGTTTAAAAAGGTGTGGGAAGCTGTTGTTCCACACGGTGCCTGTGCTGCTTTGCATCAGCGTTGTCTGACACTCGTGTTACTTTTGCATTTTCCCTTCATTCACATTTTGTTTTCTTTTACAGGCGGACGACAACCCATTAACCGAGCAAAGCGTTGCCCAGGTAACTAACCTGCACACACTATCGATGCAGCCGGACCTGGCTTCATACCATACATTAGAGCAGACATCCCTGAAGTGGGTCCTCGGGGGGGCGCTGTCCTGCAGGTTTTAGAGGTTTCTCTGCTCCGATTTACATTGATAGCTGATTAACATGCTTTTGCTGAGCTGCAATCATCAGAATCAGATGTGCTGAAGCAGAGAAACCTCTAGAACCTGCAGGACAGCGGCCCTCCAGGACCCACTTTGGTCCCGATAATAACCCACATGAGATTAGCAGGAATTAAACTTTATTCCTTTTTTTTAGTGTGGATTGTCAGTGAAATTACTCAGAGAACAATAATCAGCAATAGATATGGGAACCACTGACCCACTGGTTTGAAACCAGGGTTACAGAAACTCTGAACTGAAGATGGTCATTTCCATCAGCATGTTTTTATATCACTAATGATCAAAAGCTTTTGTTACCAAAGTAAAACGGATCAAAATGACACCCAGAGCCTGAACTTCTCTGCTGGTTACTGCTTCACAAACACCTTTGATGGACCAGTGGATGAAGGAGCGAACTGGTGCTGAATTGGTTTCAACGCATGCTGTTCAGATCAAATCAATTCAGTTAATTTATATGGCCTCAAGTCACAACACATTTAATCTCAGGTCACTTTCCAGTTCACCAGATCATCCAGTCAGATTGATTCAAAGTTTTCCATCTAAGGAAAACCAGCTGATTGCATCGACTCATTGACTCTTCAGCAATCCCTCACCCTTATACCCCGAGATGGGAAGTAACGAAGTAC